GGGGAGCAGAACGGAGGGGGGGTAGGGGGGGGGTGGACTCCACTGCTCTTTGTTTGCCACAGAACAAGTCCAAAACAAGGCCTTTTAAAATAAACTCAGCAGTAGGTGAAAACAGGCCACATTTCACATCCGACATGTGTGTAAACGGATGATTTGTTTCAGTAAACTTTCTAATTCATCACACAAACAACAACAAGCCTCCCAGGACGTGACCCGGCGTGAGGGGCTTTATTTTAAAAAACACGTTTCCCACATGTTAGCTGGACATCAGGACAGGTCTGCTGTCCGTTAAGGCCCAGTGTGAAACTAACCGTGTCACAGCCACACGACGTCCAGAGGAGGGGGAAGCATGTGGCTTCGACGTAGCGTGTGTGTGTGTGGGGTGTTTTTTTTTTTCTTCAAACCAACGTTTGATTATTCAGTAACATGTTGGGTAATGAAAAACATCCGGATTAGCAGATTCAGCTACCGAGTGGGGGTGTCGAGATGTTTTATGAAGTGACAGTGAAATTGTTGCAAAAGAAAAGTGAACTAATCAGTCACTGGGTCTTATCGTTTCAGAAAATCTAATCCGGGTGAGTGCATCACAACAAATCAGACCTACTTCTACGTTTAGTTTTGTTTGTTTTTGTGTGTGTCAACTTACTTGGTGGACGAAAACATCTAAAGGGGGGTCGACGGGGCTCCCCTCGCTGCTTGTCATTGAGATAAATCCAAAGCCCATCCGGACGTTGAACCATTTGCAGACTCCCGATCCCGACAGGGTCTGAGGTCGGGCCCGGTCCTCCTGCTCGGACTTGGCGGAGTCGTCTCCGCCACCTTTACGCGGGCCTCCTGAAACAATGGGGTAGGACACAAGGAGCAAGTTAGGAGTTGTTTTTTTTTATAGCTTCACAGACACACCGCAGAAGTGTTATCTTCCATGTGCGCATACCGGTTTGTATACGTTTAATTGGCTCTGCTGCATAAAAACTTCTTGGAGAAGCGAGGGGGGGAATCCCCACCACGGGCAAATACAGGCTATGTGAAGTTCAGGGCCGGTAGAAATTTCCTATACTACTATTTTCGCCATCACATAGGCGATCGGGGGCGCATGGTGCTCTGACCCTGTGTGCATCAAGACAAACATTCCCCCCCCAAAAAGTTGCTTGTTACTCCATGACAGATGACTGCCTGCGATTCGTGCACAGGCATGCTCCGTCGGTGGAACTTGTGAATGATTTCTCCCGTGCATCTACACCCGCTCCTACTGGGGAGTTGTAGGCTATAAGATCCAAAAAAAAAAAAAGGGGGCAGGTGTACACATGGTTCCTCGAGGTTGACTAGTGCGCAGAACTGCTTATACGCTCCAACAATGCATAT